CTCCATATGAACTAACTGTTATTACAGATTGTTGCCTTAAGCCTGTTAACTGGGTTTGAATTTAACATCTAATTTTAGGAAGAAAAAAAGAGGAAATAAAAAAAATACTGAAATCAATTTGATCGAAGCATCATAATAGTCACTATGAAAACAGTTTGTATGATAAAATAATAAAAGCTTTTTTAATGTTTTGTATCTTAATTTTCTGGTTGAATTTGGGATGTTTCTGTGGTTCCAGGTGAAATAAAACATTCTTACTCATATTGAGCTTCAGGCTCAGAGCCGCCGCCTTCAGCTGCTGCTTTCAGAGCGATTTCATGGTAAACCTCGTAAAGCTCCACATCGACACAGCGCCACAGGCCGTCCTCCTCGCCGGCGTTCTCGTAAAACATGGCCGCCTTTCAGACGAGACGAGATGTGATTGCAGCTTTAGTGAGTTTGTGAAATATTTTAGGAAGCATTCAGAAGTTCTTCATCCTCACCTCAGGAGTTTCCTCCGGTTGCTCAGCAGGAGCTGAAAAATGATTTTGCACATTAAATGAAAGGCATCCAGAATTATTTTGGGTTTGATCAAAGAAGCTGAAATAAAGAAAAACTGGATGTTTGTTTGAAAACAGTTACAGAAACTCAGAGCAGATCTGGGTGGACAGACGGGGTCCTAGTTACCATGACAACAGACACAAACCAGATGATCACTTTGTGTTGCATCTTACATGTTTGTAAGTAGATTTTCATTTAAAAGTCCTGCTTATGTCCGAAATTAGTCTTGAATTTTGGTCAAGGAGCCGTAAGAAAAATAGAAAGATAAACTAGATCCAAAACAATCCAACACAGGAATAATCAGCGACGTGTGTGTGTGTGTGTGTGTGTGTGTGTCTCTGTGTGTGTGTGTGTGTGTGTGTGTCTGTGCGTGTGTGTGTGTATGTGTGTTTCTCTGTGTGTGTGCGTGTGTGTGTAGGTGTGTAGGTGTGTAGGTGTCTCTGTGTGTGTGTGTCTCTGTGTGTGTGTGTGTGTATGTGTGTGGGTGTGTTGGTGTCTCTGTGTGT